TTGCTGCTCAAGAAATTGGGGGGGAGGTTTGCTGGCAAAGGGAGGAGCTGCGTAGCATCAGGTTGGTGATGTGACACCGTCTTACAGTCTTATTTTCATACTGGTGCTATGGGAGTGCTTTTTAATGCTACCAAGGAGATGAAAAAGGTTTCCTAATGAAGCTGTGTTGGTCGGTCATGTTGGCTGACCCCCCCCCTCCCCTTTACACCCCCCCCTGCCAGTGTTAGTGTAATAAATGTAGAAAGAACTGGTATGACTTGGGCTACTGGGAATTCATCTAAACCTGTATTATGGAATTACACAGCAAGTTTTGTTCTTAGAACTCCTTTCCTAAAAATCACTTCAGAATTTTATTGCGACTGAATGTCATGGGATGTATTTTCACACATGAAAATGGAGAGCAAACTGAGTAAAGCAAAGTGATTTTGAATCTGATCACTGATACATTTCTACAGTAAGTGGTATTCTGCTTGCTAAAACAGATTGAACACAGATAAATTCAGGAGATTTGTTGTTGTTGTTTGAACAGATTGTACTCCAGGATTTAGATGTAAAAGAAGGCCTGCATGACATACTAACTGTACTTACGATGAAAAGGTACTGTGAAACCAAAATATTGTCTGGTCCAGTAATGCAACTTCATACAAAACATGTATCTTACAGAAATTGATAGTTTTTTATTTGTACTTGTTAGGAATAACAAGAGGGGGACCCAAGATACTCGCGGGGGGGGGGAGAAGAGCTCCGTCTCCTCCATCCCCCCGAGTCGGCAGCGGCGGACGGCGGCGAGGCCAGCTACAGAGCGTTCCCTGCGCATGCGCAGGGGACGCTGTCACTTTCGGGGGGATTTAAACATCCCCCCAAAATTTTTTTCAACTTTTTCGATTTTTGTGCACACGTGGGGACTGGCCCACGTGTGCACAAACCTCCCCCTCCCCCCCAAGTGCCCCCGGAGCGCTGATTTAGCGATCCGCACTCAGGGGGCAACTTGGCTATTAGATATATAGATACCCACTTTTGTACACTGAAAACTGTAGAGATATTAAGGGGGGGGTTCTGTATAATTTTACAATTTACACTGAATTTGCTGATGTATTTTACAATCCCCCTTTTTGTTTGAACATGGAGGACAGTTGTTTTCTTTAGCACTGTAGCCTCCCTTTTCACTTATTTACAAAAAATCCATAGACATGGATTCTGAGCAGCATTTCTATGAGCAAAGGCCTCCACCCAAGGAATACCATTTTCTTACCTCTGGCTTCTTACTACAGCACTAAAAGCCCCCCCCCCCCAATGCTCCTGGGGGACAGGACCAAAGGAACAGCGTTTGGGATTGGAGGGGGAGGTGAAAAATTCATTCTCAGCAAGCAGAAGTCCTACTGCTCAAAGAAACACTGCTTTGGATCTAAGCTGTGGTTTCTCAGTTGGTTACTAGGAGAAGCAGGCTTCCTCGTCAGCTTTCCAATAATACGCTGAGAGTCAGTTTATCTGGCCCCTTTGCATACTTGAGTGAAACTTTCCAAGGTGGTTTGGGGATGACACTGTCCTTTGTGAGGACAGAAAGGTGGATGTATTCCACATGACAACATAATTTGGTCTCTGTCATGGTGTGCCCTTGTCCACTGTCTGGCATTCAGATGTGTAATCAAACCTCTTATTCATACACAAATAGGTCACTTGTCTTTCCTAGGCATCAGATTTTTTCACATTATAAAAATCTCTCTCTTACTTAGGGATGGATCCTTACATGTTACCTGTACAGATCAAGACACTGGAAAATATGAAGCTATCACAGTGGAGGTGGCAACATAATGTTGGTGTTTTTTTGCAGCTTTGTTACCCACCACTGAAAACTATTCTAAAAGACTGTTAAGTGGAAGATGTCATTTACAATAAAATAACATTTTTACAAGTAATGCGAGTGTAAAATTCATTTACAATAAAATAAAACATTGACAATAGCTAGAAAATGGGAAGATCTGAAGAAGCAGCTGATTGCAGATGTGTGTTTAGTACCTGGACCCAGAAAGAAAAACTCACAGGGGAGCAGCACGTTGCTATAATAACCTCACAGATGAAACCTGAACCTCAAAAAATTTCATAGTTTCTAAGATGCAGGATAGGGAACCCTTATGGCACATTTTTCTACTACTGGTACTGTCCAAATGGTTTTATTTCATTAGTAACATGCACCAGAGGTTAGCATTTGTATAGGGTGTAATAAAATGTTTGGATTTATATCTACTACTTCATCCTGGATGTGACTTTCCTGAGCACCCTCTTAGGCGTAGGATCTGCTGAGCTCTCAAAACAGCCCTCACCAAGCTTAGGTAGCTTACCTCATTACAGGTGACCACTCTACTAGCACCTATACCTTCTGCTAGGCAAAGGCCATGTATTCCCTGTAAACAGTCCTCGTGGTATCAGAGAAAGCTAAGGGTAGCTTGTAGGCATGTTTACTTCTGGCTCCATTCTTCTGTCTCTCCCTCCCCACTAGTGATCTCTTCCACCGCCTTCGCTACTCCAGGCTCTTTTGTTCCTCCCAGTCAGACAAAAGGCGTGCTCTGGCCTCCTGTGCCTGAAGTCACAACACTCCTTTCCCCACTGGAATTGCTTTCAGGTGTTCTTGTGGAGTCTGCCAACTGAGAGGCAAGCAACACCACGCTCCTTGCACCAAAAGCCCTTGTTGGGCAGAGGGGAGATTATAGTGGTTCCTAACTTCATTAGGCTCTGTGCAACTGCAAAAGGACTTGCCAGGAATTAAGTCCACAGCTGTGACTCATTATTGGCATCTGAATGGTAGCACGTAGCTGCATAAATTCCCACTGAGTTCAGATTCAGAAGGCGAATATCTGGTAGTCTGTGGCCTAAATTTTTCATAAACTCATAAAGCAAAAGTCCTTTAGTGCTCTGCCTGTCCCTCTGTGAATCCAACAGCTCTTTGCCAAACTATTAAAATAAGTCTTTCCTAGCACAAGTTATGTGGGAAGATGACAGATAGGGAGACTGACTTGAAAAGCAACCATTCTCTAGCTGTCCTGCAGCAGCTGAATTAGTCTCCCCACAGCAACATTTTCTCTTTTCTCTCTCTCCCAATTGGTCATTACTACTCTACAGGGCACATAGATGATTAAGGCATACTTTTTTTGGGGGGGGGGGGTTCAATTGAAAAAGCAGAATACAGACTTTGAACTGCAAATCTGAAACTGCAAGACAACATTAAGCCAGGCTGCTAAAGACACAGCTTAAGAGAGACTGGTCATAGTTAACCAGCCTCATGGGGGTAAATTATGTTACTGGAATTTTGATTCCTCCTGATAAACGCGTGCCATTGCCCCAGACCGTCATTAAAGTGTTGAATTCTCTGCCAAATAATTTTAAGTAAATGAAAGCATTTGGGATTGCTTTCCTTACTTTGATTGGATCATCTTATGTTAATGTATGAGTTGTTTTTTCTAAACTAAAACCTCAGTATTCAGGTTAAATTGCTGTGTTGGCACTTTGTGATAAGTGGGTTTTGGGTTGCAGTTTGGGCACTCAGTCTCTAAATGGTTCACCATCACTGTTCTATATCCTTGTATACCCTTTACTGTACACCAACAGAAAAGGGGTCCTTCATTATTCTTTATGGCCGCAATTTTCAAATAATGGAGAATATGAACAATTCCTACAACCACATGTGTGACTAAATGAAAAGTTCCTCTGACTAGCAATGCATTCAGCAATGCTCTAGGAGCATGACCTACCTCCCAGGGCATTTATAAGCAAGACAAACATCACAACAGTTGTGTTTCCGATTCTGCCTTCATCAGTCACTTGTTCAGTTTTACAGGAAATAAGACAATGTACTGGCTCTAAAAAGACGAATGGACTATGTGGGTCATACTGAAGGACAATCAACATGACCTGCCACTGTTCAGCATTATGGGACTCCTGTGAGCTGGAAAACCCTATTAGTGGTTTCATAAAAGGTAGAACCTGTTAATCTTCTTCGTGGTCTCTGTGCTTCACACCAATGGGATCTAGTGCGCCTGCGCTGGATCTGCCGGTGCCTAGCAAGCTTTCTTAAAAGGATTTTTGTGCCTGGCCCAACTGAGCATGCTCAGGAGCCCCAGTGAGCATGCCCAGAAGGGCAGGCATGGACATCCCGCCAGTCTGAGACGTCAGGTTTTATCATCGGCTAAGCAGTAAACACCTGACAGCACCCACCTCCAGGTTGGATACTGCTCGCTAATCTCCCATTGGTGTGAAGCACAGAGACCACGAAGAAGATAAACAGGTTGCTTAGCAGTAACTGGTGATCTTCGAGTGGTCATCTGTGCATTCACACCACCCGCCCTCCTGCCCCGCTGCTGTCTTCTTCTACCTGTTTTATTAGGAGATTGATACGCGGCGGTTGGTAGGAACTGGCGGGATGTCCGTGCCTGCCCTTCTGGGCATGCTCACTGGGGCTCCTGAGCATGCTCAGTTGGGCCAGGCACGAAAATCCTTTTAAGAGAGCTTGCTAGGCACCGGCAGATCCAGCGCAGGCGCACTAGATCCCATTGGTTTGAATGCACAGATGACCACTCGAAGATCACCAGTTACTGGTAAGCAACCTGTTTTTTTCTGACAAGCCCAAGTGTTTTATGCAGATATAACCCTTCTGTCAATCAGTGAAACTTGTCAACTAAACACCTGCTTTAAGTTGACTTTTATTGTGGTTATTCCATGTCTTAGAAACCTAAAATAGAAAGTGAATTGTAGACTGCTACAGCTTAATTCTGTTTTCCAGCAGGGAATGCAGTTATTACCAGCTAAATGAGTGGGATGACACATTTTCCGACACACTATACAGCAAAGGACAATTCTGCATACACAGAATAAAGTTTAACATGATGTCTTGAAGGTACCAGTTTAAACTAAGCATGGATCACTATTATGGACAGATTCAGAAAGACTTTCTACTAATAACAAAAACAAATCGATAACCAACCCCCTTCTCCCCCACCCCCCCCACATCAGTGCAGCGCTTCCCCTCTGGCCAGTGCAGTGTATAAGCTACACGGTTTGTCTGGTTTCGGGACCTTTGTGTCAGGGCTAGAAGGGATTTCAAAGCCAGACGTCTGAGAGCCTGTGTGGGCCTCAGGACTGAGCGCTGCTGACTTCTCTTGGAGGCTCCTCCTCTCACAAATTGACTGAAGTTGCACAGAGTCTCTCAGAATAGGCACTGCCGCAGTTCCTTCATGGGCTCTGGTTTTGTATTCAGCATTAAAGTTCTTGGTACAAGACGTGCCGTGCTCCGAAGGCTTGCAACTCTGTTTGTCTGTTCTATTTTCCCCAGGAGGGAGATGAGGTGTGTAGAACATTGCTCTGCCTTCTGCCCTCTTCAGAGGGCTAAAGTCAAGCTTTTGCTCTTGGGAGGGGATGAAAACGGTATCCACCTGGCTGTCCCAGCCCTGACTACCTTGTTCAGATATGTGGGTTGACTGAGAAGAGGTTTGGGAAGAGATATGAGTTGAGTCGCTGAATTCTTCCTCGTCGCTGAACAGATAGGGGGATTGGGGCTCGCCTGAGTCTGTGGTGGGCAAGCAGCAGTCTTCATGTTCAGAGGCTTCCGGTTCCTCCACAATCCGCTTAAAGAAGGCATCCCACTTTGGTAGCTCCTTGTTAGACTGCTGCTGGGCTCCTCTTTGTTCACAGGCAGGCTCTAAAGGACGCAGTCTTTCCAGGTCTTTCAGTGCAGCAATACAGTCCACAGGATGGGGCAGAACATCAGCTTGAGTTCTCTCTTCCCCAGTTTCCTCGTCCTCGTCCTCCTCCTCCTCTTCACCATTGGATTCCTCACACTCTACAAAATCCACCTGGAAAGATGTAGGCATGGAGGTTGCCTTGTAGCTTGTTTCCTTAGTGTCCCCCTGAGAGTTTTCAGGAGGAAGCTGCCGATTCTGCATAGTCTCTAGCTCCAGTTTTGGAATCTTGTGTCTAATAGGAATCAATTCTGTATCAAACAGTTCATCACCACCATCTGCTAACACACACACAAAAAAACCCCACCCCAGAATGTAAGAGAAGGTGGCAAGGAAACTTTGTGCCAATCTACACATGCATCCAAACTGTGTGATGTATCTTTTCCTGCACTGTACCCACTTTGGACTTCAGGTAAGGGGGATTGCCTATAACCTCCCTGCACACAGTCATAACACAAGAACATAAGAGACGCCAATGTTGGATCAAGCCAAAGGCCCATCCAGTCCAACACTCTGTTTCACACAGTGGCCAGAAATACCAGGTGTCATCAGGAGGTCCACCAGTGGGGCCAGGACATTAGAAGCCCTCCCACTGTTGACCCCCCCCAAGCACCAAGAAGACAGAGCATCATGTGCCCCAGAGCCCCTATCTATACCTTGTGGCTAATAGCCACTGATGGACCTCTGCTCCATATCTATATATCTAATAGCGAAGTGGCCCCGTGAGTGTGGATATCTAAATCCGCGCTCCGGGGCCACCTGGGGGGCAGGGAGAGGTTTGTGCACACGTGGGGCGATCCCCACGTGTGCACAAAAATCTTAAAGTGTGTAAAAATTATTGGGGGGGGGCCTTACTTTGACAAAAGTAAAAAAGAGCGTTCCCCGCGCATGCGCAGGGAACGCTCTTGGAACGAGGGCTGGAGTTTGCCGCCGCCGCGGACCCAGCCGGCCAGGCGCAAGAGCGGCTGCAAGGCCTGGC